TGACCACCTGGGCGGGGCCGGTTTTAGCCCCCGCCCCTTCCGCGGCGTCGTAGGGCTCCGCGGGGTCTGTGGACTGCTGCGCGCGCCCGTCGCTCCTGCGTAGTGACCAGAGGGCCGTACCTATACAATGTTGTACCTATACAGTATTTTAAAGTGACTGAAAAGGTAGGGCGGTGGGCTGATGTAGAGACCGTGGAAGGAGGTAAATACCAAGTCATCCTTGCTTTCCTTGGGGCCAGCTGGTAGCTTTGAAACCAGTCAGTGGAGCAGGTGCAGAGATTGGTCCAGGGTACTGCAAATTGAGCATCCTTTGAGGAAAGAAGAGGCCAAGAATCAATACCTCCACAATCCTGATGTGGTACTATCAAAGCATCCCTCCCAGCCTGCTTTCTTGGAAAAACTTCCAGCTTGAGTTATGTGGAATTTCTAGTTTTAGTTTGTTGAGGGAACTCCATACTGATTTCCATAATGGTTGTACTAGTTGTACATTTTCACCAACAATGTATGAGGGTTCCTTTTCCATTGCAGCCTCACCAGCATTTGTTATTATTTGATTCTTGATGATATCCATTCTTTCTGGAGCGAGGTGGAATTTCAGTGTTATTTTAATTTGCATTTCTTTAATTGCTACAGATGTTGAATATTTTTTCATGTATCGATTGGCCGTTTGTACTTCTTCTGAGAAGTGTCTGTTTATTTCAGTTTCCTATTTTTTGATGAATCTTTTTTGAATTCTTTATATAATACAGAAATAAATTTTCTGTCTGAGGAATAGCTGGCAAAATTGTCTTCCCATTCTGCAGGTTGCCCCTTTGCTCTGTTGCTGTGCAGAAGCTTTTTAATTTGACATTTGATGATTCTTAATGTTATTTCTTGTGCAACTGGGGTTCTGTTCAGAAAGTCTTTGCCTCCCCCTATGTCTTCAAGAGTTTTACCTATTTTATCTCTCAGCAGGTTGTTTCTGTTTTAACATTTATATATTTTGACCCGATTTGATTTTAGTTTACTACAGGGTGAGAGATATGAATCACTCCAGATTCAATCTTCTCCATAAAGGTAGTCGGTTTCCCCAGCATCACTTGTTAAAAATACTATCTTTCTTCCAGTGTATGTTTTTGATCCCTTTGTCAAATAGCTTTGTGAGGAATACTGGTGGTATTTTGATCAGGATTGCATTAAATCTGTGTATCAGTTTTGGAACTATGGCCATTTTGACAATATTGATTCTGCCTATCCAGGAGCAGGGAATATCCATTTTCTGATGTCCTCTTTGATTTTCTTTATCAGAGTAATGTAGTTTTCATCATAGAGGACTTTCACTTTCTTAGCTAGGTTAATTCCTAGGTATTTAATTTTCCTTGATGCTATTATATATAGTATTGTTTTCCTAATTTCTTTCTTTGTAAGTTCATGATTGGTGTACAGGAATGCTATTGATTTTTGTGTGTTGATTTTGTATGCTGCTTCATTAGTGAATTTGATTATTAATTTTAGGAGCCTTTTGGTAGGATATTTTGTCTTTTATGTAGAGGATCATATCATCTGTGAATGATTATTGGACTTCTTTCTTAACTATAAATATCCCTTGTATTTTGTCCTCCTGGCTCATTGCTCTGGCTAAATATTACAAGTAATATATTGAACAGAAGTGGTTATACATTCTTGTCTTATTCCTGGTTTCAGAAGGAAAGCCTTCAGCTTTTCCTTACAATATGATGATAGTAGTAGGTTTATCATAAATGGCTTTTATCGGGTTGAGAAATGGTCCTTATACCTATTTGCTTCAGGGTTTTTATCACAAATGGATGTTGGATTTTGTCAAAGGCCTTTTTGTGTCTTTTGAGGTGATTTTGTGATTTTTGTTCTTGCTTCTGCTTGTGTGATGTATTACACTTATTGATTGGTCTATGTTGAACCATTCTTGCATCCCTGGGATAAAGCCTTCTTGGTCATGATGTGTGATTCTTTTAATGATTTGTTGTTTTTGTTTGCCAGTATCTTGAGGATTTTTGTATCCATATTCATTAATGTGCTTGGCCCGTAGTCATATTTTTCAGTAGGGTCCTTGTTTGTCTTTGGAATCAGGGTAATGCTAGGTTTCAGGAATGACTTTGTATTTCTTGCCTTTCAATTTCATTGCACTTAGAAGAGTAATGGTGTTAGATTTTCCCTGAAGTTCTTGTGGAATTCAGCAGTGAATCTAACTGGTTTTTTACTTTTCTTAGTTGATTTTTTTTCCTGCTGAAATTTTATTGCTTGTTGTTAGATTATTAAGGATTTTTATATCTTTTTGGTTCCATTTTAGCAATTCATATGTATCTAGGAATCTACCCATTTCTTCTGAGTTCTCCAATTTATTGGAGTGCAGGTTATCAAAGCAGTTATTAATAACCTTCTGGATTTTGGTGGTATTCGTTGTGGTTTTGCCTTTTTCATTTTTAATTTAATTAATTTGGATTTTTTTCTGTCCTTTTTGGGGATAAGATTGGCTAAAGTTTTGTCTCTTTTATTCTTTCATAGAAACAGCTCTTTGATTTGCTGGTTCCTGGTATTTTTTTTAAGTCTCAATTTCATTTCTGCTCTTATCTTTGTAATTTCCTTCCTTGGACTACCTTTGAATTTGGATTGGTATTGTTTTTCTAGGACCTTGAGGTGCATCTTTAAGTTATTTGGGATTGCTCTCTTTCTGAGGTAAGCATTTATAGTTATAAACTTCCCTCAGAACTGCTTTCATTGTGTCCCATATGTTCTGGTATGTTTTATTGGTATTATCATTTGATTCTAAGAATAGTCTAATTTCTTCCTTGATTTCTTCTGTGACTCATTGATCATTCAAGAATGGATTGTTTAATTTCCATGGGTTTGCACAATTTCTGTGGCTTCTTTTGCCACTGATTTCTAGTTTCATTGCACTGTGATCTGATAATATGCATGGGACATTTTGATCCTTTTGCATTTACTTAAGCATGCTTTATTGACTAGTATGTGGTCTACTTTGGAGAAGGTTCCATGTTCAACTGGGAAGAATGTGTAGTTGGATGTTCTGGTTGGAATACTTTGTAGATACCTATTAATTCAATTTACTTGAAGGTTTGATTCAACTCTGATATTTCTTTGTTAATTTTTTTGTTTAATTGATTTATTTGTGACAATGAAGTATTGAGGTCCTCTATTGTAATTGCTTTGATGTTTTTCTGAGCTCTTATGTCTAGTAGCATGTTTTATGAAGTTGGGTGTGCTAGTTTTGGGGGCATAGATGTGTATAATTATTATATTTTCCTATTGTTCCCTGGAACCAATATATAATGACCTTCTTTGCCTCTTCTAATCAGTTTTGTCTTGAAGTGCACTTTTTCTGAAAATAGAATAGCTACTCTTCATTTTCAGGTCCCATAGCATGGAATGTTGTTTTCCATCCTTTGGTCTTTAGTCTATGAATGTGTGTTTTTTTTTAATTGAATTTCTTCTATACAGCAGACTGCTAAATTTTGTACTTTTGATCCATTCTGCTAATCTGTGTTTGGGGAATTGAGAGCATTCACACTGAGAATTAGTACTAAAAGATGGTGGCTTATTCCTGTCATTGCATTACTTTGCTGTTGCTGATTCCTTTTTGCCTCCTTCTGCTTAACTGCTGACCCTCCCTCATGTATTCATTCTATTTGATTTTTTGCGGGGGGCATTGTTGGCCTCATTAGACAATGAGGATATCTCTGAGAATTTTTCAGGGTCCAGTTGTTAGTTATGAATTTAAGGTGCTTTTTGTCATAGAAAGACATTAGTTCTCCATCAATTTTGAAAGATATTTTTTATGATGTATTAGTCTGTGTTATGACGTTCCCCCAAGGTCTCATGTGCTCATAGGTGGGGCTTTGGGAAGTGACTGGATCATGGGTGTGTGATACTCATCACTGGATTAGCCCACTGATAAGTTTGTAGCTAAATGTGTTTTGGAAAGTAAAGCCTGGTTGGGGATGGGTCATTTAGGACACGGCCTGGGTCTGTCTCCTTTCTTCCTGTTTTCACGCCTCTTCCTTCTCTTCTACCTCTTTCCTTCTCTTCACCAAGTTATTGTCATCCAGATGTCTCAAATTGAGGTCCTGGAGAAGCTATACTCCACTTTTGGTTTCTACTCTGTCATCTTGGTCCCTTTGCAGCCACTTTTTGAGATGAGTCTGTGCACTCTGTGCTGTTATGCTCACTCACCATGTCTGTCTTGTGTCAAATTTTTATAAGCTCTAATAATTATTATTGTCCATTTAAAAAATCTATCCTGGGAAGGGTAGGGGAAAAGAAAAAATATAAGAAAAGGAAAAAAATGGAAACAAAGTCTTTGTAAATAGGGGAGCAGGGAGGAGGTGAAAGGAGGGCAGATGTATGGGGAAAACATGAGAACCAAGATCTGTCATGTAAAGATACAAGATCCCAATGATAAATGTAACTGTACTGCATTCTTTAAAAGTACCAATAAACTAAATGAAAAAAAAAACTATACTAATGAGTGTGGAGTAGTATTTTTTGATTCTTACATGCATTTCTG